TTTAAGGTTTAGGATTTAGGGTTTTCTTTCATTGGCACACTTGTGCAGCTCTCTAGATTACGTTCCCTGGCTTAGCAAATATAGTACGGCACGGACCCTAAAGGGGACCCTCGTCTAGAGATGAAGTCTCGAGAGCTTTGGGGGAGTAGGCTCCTTGGTTGCGAACCGAGACGATCGTGACAGGAGGGAGGGTTTAGGGTTTAGGGTTTAGGGTTTAGGGGTTTAGGGTTGAGGGTTTAGGGTTTAGGGTTTAGGGCGAGTGGGAGCAGGATCAAGAGCATCAAGCTATTGAGAACTGTTTCTCAAGGCGGGACGAGCTTAGCAGGAAAGCATGCAGAAATTGAGGTGACGTAGAAGCAGACCAAAGCATTATTCCTTTGATACTGTTTGCTTCATCGCTTTGGACCTGCTCGTGTTCAGTATTCCACTTTGTGGTACAGTGTCGTCTCTACATCTCTGATTTCTCAAGGATTGGAAGCATGTTCTACTTTCCGAGCATCAAGCGAAGAAGGTACGGATGGTGCTCGGATTGTCAGTCCCACCGTTGCTGGAGTTGTCTTCTCCCTGTACCAGATGATGACCCCTGATCTCCCAATCAATCCCCAGTCGGCTCTACAAAACCCACTGGCCCCCTGCAAAGCATGATAAGCCCGACAGAACCCCATGCAATGCTTGCGAACCCCTTTCGGAACATTAAATGCCTGATAAAGCAAATCCACGCTACATAGTATACTGTCAAAATAACATTAAGCATATTTATATATATATATATAGATATATACATACATATGTACATGTAGAGGCGTATATAGAAACTTGAGGAAAAAAGCTAAGCCCGGCTGGCCTGGCCCGCCAGGTCGTAGGCCGGGCTCGCGATGGAGCCGATCGGAAGGTAGAAGAAGGAGAGAACCCACCTCTTAGGGGAGTTCAGGATTTAGGGGATTAGGGTTTTAGGGTTTAGGGTTCAGGGTCATAGTTAGGGTTTTGGGACATAGGGTTTAGGGTTTAGGAGAAAATCCACCTGCTACGGGGTAAGTGTTTGAGGTTTTTTTTGGGGGGCATGTCCCTCATGAAATGTTTGCCGCAGAAACATCGGTAGATATGTTGGCATAGTGGTTTCTTTTACGACAACCAGCACCTCTCCGACCGAGGTCGCATTGCTGTGATGTGTATTCATACTGTTCATGTCTAGGATCTGCGGTTTGGGGCGTAGGATCTAGGGTTCCTGAACCCTAAAACCCTAAAGCCTACAACCCTAATCCCTAAAACCCCAAGCCCTA